ACCCGACAGGGATATTGATTTCTGCATTGATTTGGCTCCGGGCACTCAGCCCATTTCTATTCTGCCGTATCGTATGGCCCCGCCAGAGTTGAACGAACTAAAGGAACAGTTGCAGGATTTGCTTGAGAATGGTTTCATTAGACCCAGTGTCTCACCATGGGGTGCGCCGGTGTTATTTTTCAAGAAGAAGGGTGGGTCAATGAGAATGTGTATTGATTACCTGCAATTGAACAATGTGACGATCAAGAATAAGTATCCGCTGCCGCGGATTGATGATTTGTTCGACCAGCTTCAGGGTGCTAGAGTATTTTCCAAGATTGACTTGAGATCTGGCTACCATCAGTTGAGGATTAGGGCATCCGATGTCTCTAAGACAGCTTTCCGCACTCGGTATGGGCATTATCAGTTTTTGGTTATGTCATTCGGGTTGACAAATGCCCCAGCAGCTTTTATGGACTTGATGAATCGAGTGTTCAGGCCTTATTTGGACTCTTTCGTGATAGTTTTCATCGATGATATATTGATATATTCCCGCAGCCAGGAGGAGCACGAGCAGCACCTTAGAGTGGTTCTTCAGACTCTGAGGGATAGTCAGTTATATGCCAAGTTCTCCAAGTGTGAGTTCTGGTTGAGTTTAGTGGCATTTCTGGGTCATGTTGTATCAGCAGAGGGTATTCAGGTGGACCTAAAGAAGATAGAGGCAGTCAAGAACTGGCCTAGACCAGCATCAACTATAGAGATCCGGAGTTTCTTGGGGTTGGTAGGCTACTATCGACGGTTCGTGGAGGGGCAGAAAAAGCCCCGATGACCAGATTGACCTAGAAGGGTGCCCAGTTCAGATGGTTGAACGAGTGTGAGGCGAGCTTTCAGAAGCTCAAGACAGCTTTGACTACGGCACCGGTGTTGGTTTTGCCCACAAGTTCAGGGCCTTATACAGTCTATTGTAATGCTTTCCGTGTTGGGCTTGGAGTAGTGTTGATGCAGTAGGGCAAGGTCATTGCCTATGCTTCGAGGCGGTTGAAGATTCATGAGAAGAACTATCCAGTGCATAATTTAGTGTTGGCAGCTATTGTTCACGCATTGATGATTTGGAGGCATTATCTGTATGGCATGGCATGTGAGGTGTTCATAGATCACAAGAGTCTTCAGTACCTATTCAAGCAAAAGGAGTTGAATTTGAGGCAGAGGAGGTGGTTGGAGTTGTTGAAGGATTATGATATCACAATTTTATATCACCCGGGGAAGGCCAATGTGGTGGCCGATGCTTTGAGTAGGAAGTCAGCCAGTATGGGCAGTCTTGCTTATATTCCGGTCAGTCAGAGGCCGCTTGCCTTGGATGTTCAGGCTTTAGCCAATCAATTCGTGAGGCTGGACGTTTCTGAGCCCAGTCGTGTGTTTGCTTGCACGGTCGCTCGTTCTTCATTATTCGAGTGTATCCGTGATCGGCAGTTTGATGATCCCCATTTTTGTGTCTTTAGAGACACGGTGCAGCGATGAGGTGCCAGGCAGGTTACATTAGATGCGGATGGAGTCTTGATATTGCAGGGGCGAGTTAGTGTGCCCAATGTGGATGGGCTTCGAGAGTTGATTTTAGAGGAGGCCCATAGTTCCCGGTACTCTATTCATCCGGGCGCCGCGAAGATCTATCGGGATTTGCGGCAGCATTATTGGTGGCGTAGAATGAAGAAGGATATTGTAGCATATTGTCACGACCCAAACCGGATGGGCCGCGACGAGCACCCGGTGCCTTACTCAACCGAGTACCAACATAACATATCTTTCTTATCATACTATCATGGTAAATGAGCTAGAAAACTCGTCATGAGATAACAAGAATGAAACATAGGGGAATACTCAACATCTGACGACCCACCATGATATGCAAACTTATACATGTGACATACGGGCCTATAAGGCCGACATGGCCATTTGTAAACTCAAAACATAAGCCGAAAAGGCCATACAAGTATCCATACACCTGACATCTGTCTACAAGCCTCTAAGAGTACCTAATATCATAAAGGTCGGAACAGGGCCCCGCCATACCAATCAATACATATCCAAAGCATACTGACCAAATAGGCAACTCCAGAGCAAGTGGAGTACACCAACACCTTCGCTGAGCTGATAGCCTATTAGGAGGAATGTCAACCTGTCTATCGGGACCTGCGGGCATGAAACGCAGCGTCCCCAGGCAAAAGGGACGTCAGTACGAATAAAGTACCGAGTATGTAAGGCAGGAAAGCATAAATAAGAACAGTAATGTAAAGAGAGATAGAGGAGATACAACCTGTAACATCTGAGTGCCTCTGGGGGCTACTGACATGAAATGCATAATACATATATATACATAAACTTTTAAAAACATACGCCTCTGTGGGCATCATCATCATCATATCATACCCGGCCTCAAAGAGGACTCGGTAAAAACGTACCCGGCCACGTGGAGCTCGGTAAACCCAACTGATCAGTGGTTGCACAATAGGTGCCATACCCGGCCGACTATAGCGCGGCTCGGTAGAGTAAAATAGATACATATATAATGCATGCTCGACTCATGGAATCAAGTTTTAAACCTTTTGGAGTGACTTAAGGACATTATGGACATCCCTACCATCAATATGAACCTTAGTAGGATTTAAGGATCATACCACTTGTTTAGAATAACTTTATAAGAAAAGAACAACATGGACAACCTTAGTTTCTAGNAACTCACAATATCTTTCTTCATTCTCCTCCACCAGTAGTGCTGCCTCAAATCCTGATACATCTTCGCGACACCCGGATGAATGGAATACCGCGAGCTGTGGGCCTTCTCTAATATCAACTCCCGAAGCCCATCCACATTGGGCACGCAAATCCGGCCCTGCATCCTCAACACGCCATCATCATCAATAGACACATCTCTGGCATCACCATGCTGGACCCTGTCCTTAAGTACAAGCAAATGCGGATCATCATACTGGCGCTCTCTAATGCGGTCATACAAGGAAGACCGAGAAACCACACAAGCCAACACCCGACTAGGCTCTGAAATATCTAACCTCACCATCCGATTGGCCAAAGCCTGGACATCAACTGCAAAGGGCCTCTCCCCAACTGGAATGTACGCCAAACTACCCATACTCACCGCCTTCCGGCTCAAAGCATCGGCCACTACATTGGCCTTCCCAGGATGATACAGAATGGTAATATCATAGTCCTTGAGTAACTCAAGCCACCTCCGCTGCCTCAAATTAAGATCCTTCTGCTTGAACAGATGCTGAAGACTGCGGTGATCCGTGAATACCTCACAAGATACTCCATATAAGTAGTGCCTCCAAAGCATGAACTATAGTAGCCAACTCTAAGTCATGTACAGGGTAGTTCTTCTCATGGGGCTTCAACTGACGAGAAGCACGTGCAATAACTCTACCCTCCTGCATCAACACACATCCGATCCCAACTCTCGAGGCATCACAATACGCTGTGTAAGAACGTGGAGCTGATGGCAGAACCAACACTGGAGCCGCGGTCAAAGCTGACTTGAGCTTCCAAAAGCTCTCCTCGCACTCGTCCGACCATACAAATGGTGCACCCTTCTGCGTCAACTTGGTTAGAGGCGAAGCAATAGATGAAAAACCCTGGACGAACCGACGATAATAACCCGCCAAACCGAGGAAACTCCGAATCTCTGTGGCTGAGGACGGTCTAGGCCAACTCTGAACCGCCTCTATCTTCTTAGGATCTACCTGAATACCATCGCTGGACACCACGTGCCCCAGGAAAGCCACAGAACCAAGCCAGAACTCACACTTAGAGAACTTTGCATAAAGCTTCTCCCTCAATCTCTATAATACCACTCTCAAATGCTGCGCGTGCTCCTCCTGGCTACGCGAGTACACCAGGATGTCATCAATAAAAACAATCACAAATGAATCCAGATACGGCCGAAATACACTGTTCATCAAGTGCATGAATGCTGCTGGGGCATTGGTCAGCCCAAAGGACATAACCAGAAACTCATAGTGCCCATATCTAGTCCTGAAAGCAGTCTTCATAATATCTGAATCCCTAATCTTCAGCTGGTGATAGCCTAAACGGAGATCAATCTTGGAGAATACCTTTGCCCCCTGAAGCTGGTCAAACAAATCATCAATACGGGGCAGGGGATACTTGTTCTTCACTGTCACCTTGTTCAGTTGCCGGTAGTCAATGCACATTCTCATTGCGACATCCTTCTTCTTCACAAATAAGACCGGTGCACCCTACGGTGACACACTCGGACGAATGAACCCCTTATCTAGGAGTTCCTGAAGCTGATCCTTTAGTTCTTTCAACTCCGCTGGTGCCATGCGATACGGAGTAATGGAAATGGGCTGAGTGCCCGGCACCAGATCAATACCAAAATCAATGTCCCTGTCCGGTGGCATGCCCGGCAGGTCTGCTGGAAACACATCAGGAAAGTCCCTCACAACGGGAACAGAATCAAGACTAGGAGTCTCAGCTCCAACATCTCTCACAAAAGCCAAATACGATAGACAACCTTTCCCAACCATCCGCTGGGCCTTTAGGAAAGAAATCACCCTGCTTGGAACATAGTCAGTCATACCACGCCACTCAATCCTCGGAACACCCGGTATAGCCAACGTGACTGTCTTAGCATGACAGTCCAGAATAGCATGGCACGGAGATAACCAATCCATGCCCAGAATAACATCAAAATCCACCATACTCAACAGTAACAAATAAACTCGGGTCTCTAGACCCCCAATAGTCACCAAACAAGAACGATACACATGGTCTACAACAATAGTATCACCTACCGGGGTGGATACGTGCACAGGTAAAGCAAGACACCCACAGGTCGTACCCAGATGATGGGCAAAATATGAAGACACATAAGAATAGGTAGAACCGGGATCAAACAAGACAGAAGCATCCCTGTGGTAGACTGAGACAATACCTGTGATAACAACATCTGATGCAATGGCGTCCCTCATATCTAGGAGAGCATAGAATCAAGCCTGGCCACCGCCAGATCGGTCTCCACCCCTAGGGCGGCCCCTGGCTGCCTGGCTCCCACCCCTACCTGACTGGGAGGGTGCTGAAGTAGCTGGAGTAGAAGACGGGGGCTGATCTCTCTGCTGAAACCGACCACCACGACGTCGAGGACACTCCCTCTTCATATGGCCAAACTCACCGCACTCGTAGCAACTGCCTGGTGCTGGAGAAGGGGACTGAAGGGAACCCATCGCTGCAGAAGAACATTGGGCTGAAGAGGCATGAGAAGAGCTCTGTGCTAGGAGGGCACTAAGTGAAGGCTGGCCCTGCTGGAATCCCTGATGACCACGGCCTGAGGAAGCACCACTATACTCTGGGCGAGTTGACTTAGGAGGGCTGAAGGAACGACCTCTACCACGCTGGAACTGGCCCCTAAACGGAGCACCACCGAAACTGCCTGAACCTCGAGGCCTCTTGGCCTCCCACTCCTCACGCTCCCTACGGCGAACCGTCTCAATATCATGAGCAATATCAACTACCTCCTCGAACGAGGCACCCAAAACCCTCTCTCTGGTCATAAAAATGCGGAGTGAATAGTTGAGGCCATCCACGAACCTCCTAATCCTCTCCCGATCTGTCGGGATCATCCAAGTAGCATGACGAGCTAGCTGTGAAAATCTCATCTCGTACCGGGTCACAGACATGTCCCCCTGAGTCAACCACTCAAACTGACAACGCAGCTCCTCCATGCGAGACTGCGGTACGTACTTCTCTAGAAAGAGAGTGGAGAACTGCTGCCATGTAAGGGGCGCTGCACCAACAGACCTACGCCTCTCCAAATCCTCCCACCATGTAAATGCAGCCCCTGAGAACTGGAAAGTAGTAAAAGCCACTCCACTCGACTCCAAGATCCCTGCGGTGCGAAGCATACGCTGACACTTGTCAAGAAACCCCTGGGCATCCTCGCCCTCAGCACCACTGAACGCCGGAGGCTGGAGCCTACCGAACCTCTCAAGACGACGCTGCTCATCGTCTGGCATAACTGGAACCACATAGTCTGGAGCTGGTGCAGCTGGTGCAACTGGGGCAACTGGGACAGCTGGTGCAACTGGTGCAACTGGTGCAACTGGTGCAACTCCCGGTATCTGCAGCCCCTGAACAACCTGCTCAGGTGTGCGGGCAGCGGGGGTCTGATTGCCTCCCCCGATCTGTGAAGTAGCTGCTGCAGTAGTGGCTGAGACTGCCTGGGCTAGGACTGATAGTATCTGAGCCAAGGCCTCCTGGAGACCTGGAATCACAATGGGCACTGCTGGTGCCTACACAAGTGCTGCTGGAGCATCTATAGCTGGAGGCTAGTCCTAAACTGGGGCAGCTGGTGGATCAACATATGTTGCCCTCGCTTGTCTGCCTCGACCACGACCATGACCGCATCCACAGCCTCTAGTGGGTGGTACTGGTGGTCGTCCGTCACGTCCAGTAGCACGAGTTCTCGCCATCTGCGAGAGAATAGAATACAGAAGTTTAGTTCTTGGATCAACAAAGTCGCACGACAAGAATTTCAAGGATATGAAGTTTTTCCTAAAGGGTCTGCAGCCTCTCGAGGATAGATACAGACGTCTCCGTACCGATCCGCGAGACTCTACTATACCGGCTCATGATTCGCGAGACCAAGTAACCTAGGCTCTGATACCAACTTGTCACGACCCAATCCCCGATCGTGATGGCGCCCAACCCATTGCTGGGCAAGCCTGACCTTTCAACAATATTTCCCACATTGGATGGTTCATAATTTCAAAGCACAGATATTAATAACTAAGCTAGTTTTAACAAAATACTGAAAAGTTAAATCCCAAACTAGGACCCGGTGTCACGAACATGAGCCTCTAATACAGAGTTTCCACCTAATACAGTCTGTCTACGATAAAATGCGGAATACAAGAGAATAAAGATAGGAGGGAGAGACGAAGGCTGCGAACGCCATGCAGCTACCTCAATGCTCCCCGATGCTACTGTGCTGCTAAACAATCCTCACTCAGCCTGTGATGCACCTAGATTTACACACAAGGTGCAGGGAGTAAAGTGAGTACTCCGACTCAGTGAGTAATAAACATAAATATTGGCTGAAGATAAGAAATCTCTGAAAAACACAAGGCAAACTATAACTGGCAGTACCAAACCTTTAACAGTAAAACTAACAAGTCCATGATTTAATAATACAGAAAGAACCATGCGAGGTAAAACAGGTAAGTAATAATGCATGAATGCAATGCAATGCATATGCCGGTACACTCAGGTACCCACTGCGGCGTGCAGTCCGAGCCAACCATATATATTTATCGTCGACGGCGCTCACTGGGGGTGTGTACAGACTCCGGAGGGGCTCCTATAGCCCAAGCGCACATAATCAAGCCATCTCGTGGCACCAACCAGGCCCTCGGCCTCAATATCAATATAGTACTGCTGCGGCGTGCAGCCCGAGCCGACCATGTATCCAGAAATCACTATAAGCCTCTTGGGTATTTTAAATCAGTAATTCACAGCCCAAGATATCACTTAAAATGTCATTTAAGTTTTCAAATCTGAGAAAAGGGGCTGAGTTTACAAAACAGTACTTAAAACCTTGGAATGAGGTTAAACAATATGCAAAGTATGCAAAATCAGTGATATCAATCCCTTAAGGATTCGAATAGCCGGCACGAAGCCCAAATACAACAGTCAAATCCAAGTAATGATAATTTCAAACAAGTTCTAGTAGAAAAACACAGTAAAACATCACGGGGACGGACCATGTCACAATCCCTAATAACAAATGACCCCGCACTCGTCATAGAGCGCGTGCCTCGCCTTAATATATCGCTACGATGGGAAATTCCGGGGTTTCGAACCCTCAGTTGATTTACACCTATTACTCACCTCAAGGCGGCCCAAAGTCTAGCTCGCTATGCCTTTTCCTCTCGAATTGACCTCCTCGCGCGTCAAATCTGATCAAAACCACAAGGAATACATTACAATAGGCTAAGGGGATATAACCCAATCGAAAAGACTCGAAAAACATCGAAAATCACGAAGTTGGCAAAACCCGAGCCCCGGGCCCACTTCTCGAAAAATTATGAAATTCACATCACCGGATTCCTCGTCTCGCCACGAGTCCATACATATCGAATTTACCAAAATCGTAGTCCATTTGACCCCTCAAATCCCTATTTTAAACTCTCTTAAGTTCAAGCCCTAAACCACCATTTTTGACCTTTGATTCCTTGATTATTCAGTCTAAATCCATGTTTTTACACCATAAAATCAAATTCTAAGTCCAAGAATCCATACCTGATTAAGGCCCTCGAAACCCTCTTCAAAATCGCCTCAAAGTTCTCAAAGTCCGAAGTCCAAAATGTTGTTCTTTCAAAAATTCGCGAAGAAGATTAATTTCACTTAACTGCCAGGGGTTTCGCTTCTGCGCATATTTTACCGCTTCTGCGACTTCCGCATATGCGGTCCACGTCCGCTTTTGCAGACTCTTCACTTAAGGCCCCCTACCGCTTCTGCGGTCCCCATTTCGCATCAGCGGGACCGCTTACGCGGTCCTACTTCCGCTTCTGCGGAACCTGACAAGGGCCCCTATTTCTGCTCCTGCGAGGACCAGCTCGCTTCTGCGAAACCGCACTTGCGGTCCCATAATCGCAGGTGCGAAACCAACAGATACCAGCAATCTGAACCTGCAACAAACTCCAAAAAATTTTCGTTTAACTACCCGAACTCACCCGAAGCCCCCGGGACCTCAACCAAAAGCGCATACACGATCCAATACCCCATTCAAACTTGTTCCAATCTTAAAAACACATTCAACAACACAAAAATCCTCATTTCTCATTAATTTCAAGCCTAAGTTCTTCAAATTCTTCTGAAACTCACATTCAATAAGAAACCCAACCAAATCACCTCCGAATCACCTCAAATTTTGCACGTATATCCAAAATCACCTAACGAAGCTACTGCAACTCTTGGAATTCCATTCCGACCCCTGGATCAAAATGTCACCTACCAACCGGAATTCGCCAAAAATGCTAACTTCGCCAATTCAAGCCTAATTCTACACCGGACCTCCAAAATCAATTCCGACCGCACTCCTATGTCACAATTCATCCCCCGAAGCAAACCGAATCACCGGAAATCACATCCGAGCCCTCAACTCATCAGTCAACATCCGGTTGACTTTTCCAATATAAGCCTTCGTCAAAGAGACTTAGTGTCTCATTTCCTACCAAAACCAAGACAATTCAATTCTAACTCATAAAATGCCGATAACGAAACATGAAGAAGCAATAAATAGGGTAAACGGGGCAGTAATACATGAGACGACGGGCCGGGTCGTCATAACATAGGTCATAGACATGACCGATACACACAACTAGAGTGCCTTTGAAAGGGCTAGATGTCTTAACACGATCTCATTAGTGAAGTAGAGTAGGTAAGACTTAGATGAACAAACCAGACAAGCACTTCACGAAGCATTCAAAGTTTAGAAATACTAATCACATATAGAACAAGCAGAATTTAGACATGCTGGGTGAGATAGTAAACAAACAATGCAGCTTGGACATACTAGTGAACAAATAGGATTCATGCAATTATCTAAAGGAGGGTTGGGCATGCTAAATAGTATACTAGTTATAGCTTTTAACAAAATAAACTTAAACATGCCGAGTGATACAGTAATTAGGCAGTCTAATCTAAGCATGCTGGTTACAAATTGAGCATATGACAGTAGAATTGGAAATCACAACTAATAAACTGCAGCAACAAAGAAAACACATAGTTTGGAATGTGAATTAAATCAGGACATACCAGTCAAGGAGAGAATACAGAGTATAGAGCAGAGATGGTGCAAATAGTCAGCCTTGGCTTACAGCCGAATGGATTAGTGAGGATTGCAAGTAACAGAAGAGAATAGAGAGCTTTCATGAGTGTGAGAGTGTGGAGGAACTAGTATTCGTCCAGAGCTTAAAATAAAGAGAGTTTATATAGTAGCTCAAGAGTGGAGCAAATAAGGTAAAGCAATCAACAATCAGCAATTAAGGAATTTCAGAATCAATTACACAAAGATTCAGCATAGTTTTCTCCTTTAATTAAGGAAAATCAACCAACGGTAATGACAAGAACTAATTAAGGCAACAGGTTCAATAAGACCGAGTAAAGAAGTAAGAATCAAGGATCTTATTAAGGAAAAGAGTTCAAATCAAACCAAAATAAAGAGCTTCGAAGTACAATAGTCAAGGGTTTAATTAAGGAAAGAATCATGCAAAGAGTCAGCAAGTATCGCAGACAATTTCAAATAAAGCAAGAAAGGAATAGTCAAGAAACAGATTGATAAATCAAGAATCCAAATCAACACTGATTTAAGGGTGAAAATATAGGTTTACCATGAATAGGAAAAAAAAGAATATAGACACATAGAATCGGTAAAAGGTCGAACCAAGAACCTTAATATAGGCACATTAGGATAAAAATCACAAGACATCTAATTAGGCTAAAGAAAAATCATAGGAACCAAAGCATAGGACAAAGTCGGTACATAAGTAACTCAAAACCAAACAAAATGTTGAAAAAATTCGGATTTTTAGCATAAGCGAGTTGGGGTTAAAGCAAATCTTACGAAATCGGTTAAAACACATAAGAAACAGAAGATTAAACACTCAAAATTATCAAACTTTTTGGAGAAAGAAATTTTCGGGAAAGCCTAGTTTAGAAAAAATGGAAAACCATTCGAAAATCAGAAGGTTCTTGTAAAACTCATATAAAATAGGCTCCACCCATCTCAGATCTTGTACAGATCTGAGAAGTTCAAAGGGTAAAAATTAGGGTTTCGAGAAAAACAACACAGAGGTGAAGAAGCAAGCTTAGAAATCCATAGATCTAAGGCGACATAGGAAGA